TAGTGTCTCTCTCTGCTCTCTCTCTGGTCCCTCTTGATTGTGTCTCTCTCTGGTCCCGCTTACTCATGTCTCTCTCTGCTCTTTCTGGTCCCTATCTCTCTGCTCTCTCTCTGGTCCCTCTTACTTGTGTCTCTCTCTGCTCTCTCTCTGGTCCCTCTTGCTAGTCTCTCTCTCTACTCTCTCTCTGCTCTTTCTTCTGTGAATAAATTACATCATAATCTCCCATTTTTCCATCATTCCGGTTTCATTTGGACCATTTCTTAAACGAGCACATCATGGCGTTTCTGTTGGAGACGTGTTGTGGCATGTGCATGGTGCCCTGGCCTCCCTTGGTCCCTTGGGGGCCCACCTGTCACAGACCTCTCTTCTCTGTTCTGCAGTAAACAAGTTCAATGTGTAAAGGAGAGGGCAGGTGTGTGTGCATCTGGCCGAGAAACACCACGGTTTAACTGCCGGGTCTGAAGGCGAGCGCTCATGCAGGAACTCGCACCGCCGTGGATATTCCCAGTAGAGGCCGCTGGGAAGGTGCTAAAGCTAAAGACCAGGACGAGCTGTGAGGAGCTAAACCTGGAAAAGCAACAGAAACTGGTCTCATGGTACTAGGGACGGAGGTTTTTTTTTTTCTTAATTTTACCATAAACAATTCCCAAACACTAAGACTCCCGGAATTTGGAAACTGCTGCCTGCGGTCAATCAAACCAATGGAATTCTGAGAAAATTCCCCAAAGAATATTTAGTTAATGAGTAATGTATAAGCTTTATAAATGTACTTACTTTTAATGAGTGCTAAAATAGGACATTATTTTAAAAACCTGGTCAATATTATTGAAATACAGCACCAAAAGCTAATGCTAAATTCTGATAGTAAACATTGTGTTGCTATGGTAACTAGCACTTGATCGTCTCTGGTGGAAAAGGCATTGAAGGTAGAACTCCTCGTGTTTAAAAAGAGTGAAAAATCGTTTCATAAAAGAAGAGACATAAAGATGAACTACATTTAAGAAGAGAAAAAGTCACATGTGAAGAATGCCTCTCTCTCTCTCTCTCTCTCTCTCTCTCTCTCTCTCTCTCTCTGCTCTCTCTCTCTCTCTCTCTCTCTGCTCTCTCTCTGGTGTCACCCTGGTCTCTCTCTCTGGTCTCTCTGGTGTGTCTCTGCTCTATCTCTCTCTTTCTGCTCTCTCTCTCTGTTCTCTCTTTGTTCTCTCTCTGTTCTCTCTTTGTTCTCTCGCTGCTCTCTCTGCTCTCTCTCTAGTCTCTCCCTCTGTGCTCTCTCTTTGGCTCCGAACCGCGACCCGCCTCACCGCTCTTCCCGACGGCTTCCGCTGACTAAGACCATCGCAGCAAAAACCCCTGGCCCCGCCCCTTTCAATCCGTTTGATGACGATTGGCCGTGACACGCTAATTTTTCAAGGGTAATTTCCAAAATGCGGCTCACACACAACGTCTGGACGTATTAATCGCGGCTCTTCCCCTTCGGCGTGCGGCGCGCTCCGGCTCCGGGCAATAATAAATCACCGAGTGACAAGTGGCGCTCTCTTAACCTTGATGGAGCGAGAACGGCCCGAGTTCTTCAAATAAAGGCTTATTAGGCGATTGGCATCCATCATTGCTCTTGTCTGCTTCAATAAGAGCGCCGTTCTGACCCCAACGTCCCCGCGCCAAATAAATAAATGAATTATTGGCGTGCGATTGCGGCAAAGGCAAAGATCTAATGCGGTTAATGACGTGACGACAAGTTGGGGAGAGTAAACTTCAGCGGGATCCGTAATCGTTTTACCTACGTGCCGAGAGAGAGAGAGAGAGAGAGAGAGGAAAAAACGCCGGACTAAGACAAAAACTGCGGTAATCTGTAAAAATGCACCGGGAAAAAAATCAAATGGAATAAAAAAATAGACGTGCTGTGTTTGTGAGAATGATTCTATCTCAGAGGCTGTCTCTCTCTCTGTTCTCTCTCTGGGGTTTCTCTCTGTTCTCGCTCTCTGGTCTTTCTTTCCCTGGTCTCTCTTTGCGGTCTCTCTATTCTCTCTCTCTTCTCTCTCTCTCTGGTCTCTCTCTCTCTCTGGTCTCTCTTTCCCTGGTCTCTGTCTGGTCTTTCTATTCTCTCTGTTTTCTCTCTTTCTGGGCTCTCTCTGTTCTCTTTCTCTCCCTGGTCTCTCTCTCTGTTTTCTTCTCTCTCTGGTCTCTCTCTCCCTGGTCTCTCTCCCTGGTCTCTCTCTCTCTGTTCTCTCTCTCCCTGGTCTCTCTCTCTCTGGTCTCTCTCTCTGGTCTCTCTCTCCCTGGTCTCTCTCTCTCTGTTCTCTCTCTTTCTGGTCTCTCTTCTCTCTTTCTGGTCTCTCTCTCTGGTCTCTCTCTTCCTGGTCTCTCTCTCTCTGTTCTCTCTCTCTGTTCTCCAGTGATGGGAATAACGGCGTTACTAGTAACGGCGTTACTAGTAACGGCGTTACTAACGCCGTTACTTTTTTCAGTAACGAGTAATCTAACTAATTACTTTGACAGTAACTATAACGCCGTTATCATTTCCGACATCCCGTTACTGCGCGTTACTCAAGACGCACAATGAACGTGTTGTCATGAGAGAAGGGAGGATGAGAAAACCTCTCAGCAATTATTGGCTGATGTAAAACATATTTCCTTTACAATCCACATGTCTACAGTTGAGAGGATGCTCATAAATTGTGTTTTTGAAACAAATGGGTCTTAATCGCGCTCAACCACGGCTTGTATCACCGTGAGGTCAGCCACAGAGTAGCGCATGTGAGCGCAGAAGTCGGCTGCATACAATTCCATCAATAAGCTCCTTGCTCTTCCTGGTTTATCTGCTAAGGACAGCAAGAGGTTTGGCTAACATACATATAACACATTTTTACATAATCTAAAATGCACATAGGGTAATTTTTCAATGACTATAGGAATGATAAGAAAGAGGTGAAGTGTAAGACGGTTGATTTTAGAAATTGGATGCACTCGGCTGCCGCTAGCAAAACACAGGAGTTTATGGAGGAGTCACGTGTTTTGTTTTACTTTTTAAAACTCATTGGACTCATTTCCAAATGGAGGATTACATATCTATGCTCAAACCATTCACTGGATTTAAACAAGGAACTGGTCTGAACCGAAGTGGACTGTGCAGGTCATTTATAAGGTATAGCCATAACTCATAGTTTTGCGTTTTGTACAACAAACAACAAACAATGCGGGCATAAAACATATTTTGCTGTAGCCAAACAAATTGTCCACTTGATTTATATGATGTATATGTTCATCTGATTGGACTGAAGTCAGTGCTTCACCAGCCTCACCGCTCGTCACCGGTGTTTCCACATTCACAGCGGCGGGCTTTACAGCACAGTGAGAGATGAAGAGTGAACAGGACTTCAGCAGCAAAACAGCCTTTTCTAGATGGAAATATTGGCACTATTTCAGACTCACTGAGGTTAAAGGTAAAAATGCGCACGTCGGGTGCACATTATGTTCCAGAACAAAACGAAAAAGTAACGCAATAGTTACTTTTACTGGTAACTAGTTACTTTTATAGTGGAGTAACTCCGTTAGTAACTCAGTTACTTTTTGGGAGAAGTAACTAGTAACTATAACTAATTACTTTTTCAAAGTAACGTGCCCAACACTGCTCTTCTCTCTCTTTCTGTTCTCTCTCTCTCTTTACTTTGAACTGTCCTTTACAAATTAACTCAAAATTAAAATCATTGTAATTATCCAAGTAAGATGCAAAATATGCAAAAAATATGTATGGAATAAATAATTAATTAAAGTCATAATAATATATAAACAATGTATTAAATGATTTAAAAAAGTGTATACATTCTAAAGATTTGTTTTTTCAATCGATCGACCACAGATTTTTGTTTTACTTCAGTTCTAATAAATATAAATGCATATTAATATTTTCTTTGTTATTTGGTGAAAAGTTAAAATTCAATGGAAGCCTCTCTCTTTCTATTGTGACCAAACCAGATAAAAACACATTTATTCTCATTGTGTCTTTGTCGGACAGCAGACTGATGTTTTATTTTTACACCGCGGTGAACGTGGCGGGGCCCCTGGGTGCTGCTCCAGGACCAGGGGCCGACCTGTCTGTCACTGTTGTCCTCAGTGTTTACCAATGTCTGGTGACAGGTGCCACTCTGGGCTGATAAGAGCAGGACCTCACATACACACACAGACAAACACACACACACACACACACACACACACACACACACATACACAAAAATATGGTATAACTTGTTTTTGTGTTTATAGAAGCATTCAACCAGAGCTGGTACTAGCATTAGCCTATTAGCATTAGCATTAGCATTCATTGAACATGAATGCGACAACTTACTACTTACTATTACTATTATCTGTGTTGGAGATTTCAATGGTTTTATTAAGTCTATGAGATGGCTTCTGTTGTGATTTAGGGCTATACAAGAATAATTTGTATTGTATTGTACTTTTTTGTAAACCTTCATGATTAAACAGACTATATTCAGATGTTTGTATTTACTTTTATCATCTGTAACATTCTCTGTTTAAAAAAGAAACACATTAGCCTCACAAACTAGCTAAAAAGCTGCTGGAAGTTGTTTCCTGAGGTCATCATGGCAACGAGTTTTTATATTAAATTTAGATCCATTCCAGAAATTATTTTATGACATCGCAAGATCTCCATGGCAACGAACCTTTAGGTGGGTTAGACATCAGGTCAGAGAGACTTCAAGTCAGAGCTAATATCCTTTACCTTGATAATTCTGATTCGTACATTTTAGATTGTGTGTATTTATTTATTTATTTATTCATTTCGAGCAGGTCACATGAAAAAATAATAGCAAATGTAACAGCTGTACATAAGAACAAGAAATAGAAAACCCTTAGCTCGAAAAGGAGTGGGAAGAAGAAAACTTATTTTATTCCACCCCTATTATCCTTTGCTACGTTACAATATACTGTAAAACCTAACTTAACTTCCACTTCATTTCCATAAAAAAAAGAAACAAAGAATGGCGCGCAGAAGTGCACGACTTGAGAATACGAGGTACTACGATGTGGACGGCAGCCCCCGCATCTCCTACTCCACTGGGACTCGACGTCACAGTTTCCCCCAGGACCAGGTGAGACCCCCTCAGATCCATGTGTCTGAGCCAGTCCAGAGGCCTGAGCCAGTCCAGAGGCCTGAGCCAGTCCAGAGGCCTGAGCCAGTCTAGAGGTCAGAGCCAGTCCAGAAGTCTGCAGGGATCAGGTCTTGGCACTGGTTCAACTGGTTCAGCTGGGGCTTGCTCCTGAAGCTCCTCTTCTCCCTGACGTCCCTGGTGGTCTCTCAGGTAAACCTGCGGAGCCTGAGGAAGGAGCTGCATCATCTCCAGCAGGATCTGGGACGTCTGCAGACCATGGCGCACCCTCAGGCCACCCTCTGGGGGAACTTTGCGTTGGCGTCGCATGGAGCTCAGGTCCTAACCGCCTTCAGCTCCAGCACCCACCAACAAAAGGGTTCTTCCAGTTGGCTGACACCTTACTCTCCATGGGAGGTGATCAAAGGCCAGTATTACCCTCTGGTCCCTGGGCACTGCTGGGCCTTCTCTGGCCAGACAGGAGAGCTGTTTGTGGCCCTGTCTCAGAAGATCCATGTGTCTCACATCACTGTGGGGCACATCTCTAAAGAGCAGTCGGTCACAGGGGAGATCCTGTCGGCTCCGAAGGCCTTCGCCCTTTATGGACTGGAGGAAGTGGATGGACCCAAAGTCCACCTGGGGACCTTCCAGTACGAGTCTGACGGAGACTCATTCCAGACCTTTGAGATCAAGGAGCACACCTCCAACATCTTCAGGTTTGTGAAGCTGGAGGTCCTGACCAACCATGGCCTGGAGGACTACACCTGTCTGTACAGCTTCAGGGTCCACGGGAAAATCCCTGAGGCTGCAACCACCTGGTAAGCGCCACATGGTCCACGAACTTAAACGCTTTGGAACAATCTTCCACCGTGGGTCAGAGCCGCTGATTCACTGGATCCTTTTTAATCCCTTCTTAAGACCCATTTCTTTTCACCGGCCTTTTAACTTGCGTTGAGCTGAATCTCTCTTTTTAAATTTCTGTTTTTTGCCTGTAGTACATTTTGAATGTTTTGTTTTTATTTTGTTTTTAGAAAATTTTTAAAGCATTTTGGGTTTTTGGCATTTTAAATGTGCTATTTAGATAAACTTGACATTGACCTTTTCATCATTGGGTCTGAGCAGACCGGATGAGGGCAGCAGAAGAGCTGCTGACACCACATGTTCAGGTCCTTTGAACATGACCTTTGTGTCCTTTGAACATGACACTATTGCAACTATAGCATACTACTTACCAATAAAGCCAATAAAGCTTACCAATAAAAAAACCATATGCAGATGTGTGTATATACTTTTATCGTCTGTAATATTCACAGTTTGTAAAAAAAGCTCTTTAGTAAGGCCTTAATCTAACTCACAAAATGGCTACTGGAAGCGGTTTAGGGGTCACCATGGCAACAATCTTTTTTATCAAATAGAAATCCATTCTGCCTGGTTACCATGGAGATTACTGTATGTTATGTCATACAGTGGAATGTGACCGAACCTATGTGTTGGACTTCAGATCCAGACTTCAAGTCAGAGTGACTTCAGGTCAGAGAGACTTAAGGTCAGAGAGACTTCAGGTCAGAGTGACTTCAGGTCAGAGAGACTTAAGGTCAGAGAGACTTCAGGTCAGAGAGACTTCAGGTCAGAGAGACTTCAGGTCAGAGAGACTTCAGGTCAGAGAGACTTCAGGTCAGAGAGACTTAAGGTCAGAGAGACTTCAGGTCAGAGAGACTTCAGGTCAGAGAGACTTCAGGTCAGAGAGACTTAAGGTCAGAGAGACTTCAGATCAGAGAGACTTAAGGTCAGAGAGACTTCAGCTCAGAGAGACTTCAGCTCAGCGCTAATATCCTTTACTTTGACAAATATTGTTAGTACATTTTAGAATGGCGCGCAGAAGTGCGCAACTTGAGAATGCGGGGTACTACGATGTGGACGGCAGCCCCCGCATCTCCTACTCCACTGGGACTCGACGTCACAGTTTCCCCCAGGACCAGGTGAGACCCCCTCAGGTCCGTGTGTCTGAGCCAGTCCAGAGGCCTGAGCCAGTCCACAGGTCTGAGCCAGTCCAGAGGTCTGAACAGATCAGGTCTTGGCACTGGTTCAACTGGTTCAGCTGGGGCATGCTCCTGAAGCTCCTCTTCTCCCTGACGACCATGGTGGTCTCTCAGGTAAACCTGTGGAGCCTGAGGAAGGAGCTGCATCATCTCCAGCAGGATCTGGGACGTCTGCAGACCATGGCGCACCCTCAGGCCACCCTCTGGGGGAACTTTGCGTTGGCGTCGCATGGAGCTCAGGTCCTAACCGCCTTCAGCTCCAGCACCCACCAACAAAAGGGTTCTCCCAGTTGGCTGACACCTTACTCTCCATGGGAGGTGATCAAAGGCCAGTATTACCCTCTGGTCCCTGGGCACTGCTGGGCCTTCTCTGGCCAGACAGGAGAGCTGTTTGTGGCCCTGTCTCAGAAGATCCATGTGTCTCACATCACTGTGGGGCACATCTCTAAAGAGCAGTCGGTCACAGGGGAGATCCTGTCGGCTCCGAAGGCCTTCGCCCTTTATGGACTGGAGGAAGTGGATGGACCCAAGGTCCACCTGGGGACCTTCCAGTACGAGTCTGACGGAGACTCATTCCAGACCTTTGAGATCAAGGAGCACACCTCCAACATCTTCAGGTTTGTGAAGCTGGAGGTCCTGACCAACCATGGCCTGGAGGACTACACCTGTCTGTACAGCTTCAGGGTCCACGGGAAAATCCCTGAGGCTGCAACCACCTTGTAAGCGCCACATGGTCCACGAACTTAAACGCTTTGGAACAATTTTCCACCGTGGGTCAGAGCCGCTGATTCACTGGATCCTTTTTAATCCCTTCTTAAGACCCATTTCTTTTCACTGGCCTTTTAACTTGCGTTGAGCTGAATCTCTCTTTTCACATTTCTGTTTTTTGCCTGTTTTAAATGTTTTGTTTTTATTTTGTTTTTAGACCATTTTTAAAGAACTTTGGGCTTTTGGCATCTTAAATATGCTATTTAGATAAACTTGACATTGACCATGACATTTTCATCATTGGGTCTGAGCAGACCGGATGAGGGCAGCAGAAGAGCTGCTGACACCACATGTTCAGGTCCTTTGAGTCTGGTCTGGAGGAGACTGGGACAGACTCTGGTTTGGTCTCATGGTCTGAACCTTGTTCATGGACACATCTAGATTCTGTTCATTTCATTTGGACTTTGAACCTTGTTTGCAGCTGTAGGTCTCACAGAGGAGGGGGCGGGCCTTTCCCTTCAGTAATGTGCGATTGACAGCTGCTTCAAGGTGAGATGAGGAATGAAATGAACAAAATGAGGACGTGTTCCATGTTTTGGTTAAAACCATGAGATCCAGATCTGAGCTGAAGTTCTGCTCAAGACCAAGCTCTTTGGGCTGAGAACATGTGGGGTCAGACAGACGCTGTGAGGGCGGCACGGTGGCACAGTGGTTAGCACTTGTGCCTCACATTGAGAAGGTCCCTTTCTGTGTGGATTTGCATGTTCTCTCCGTGTCTGCGTAGGTTTCCTCCGGGTACTCTGGTTTCCCCTACAACTAAAAACATGTATAATAGAAAAAAAATAAAAATGTAATAAATGTTAACCTCAACCATCGTGGGTTTTGATTATTTTTACTTTGAACAACACAACAGACATAGCAACAGTTCTTCGGTCAGAACTTTTGGTCTTGTCTCAGTTCTTTCTTTCTCTTTGCTATAGTGAGAATCAGGCTAATTTTTTTATGCTTTATTTTACATAAACACCGAATAATGAAAGAGACACCAAAATACAGTCGCACTCAATAGATGCAGCATAAAAAACATATTTGTCGTGAGGCCCAAACAAGACCAGGACTGAGGCACTAAATCCGAGATGAATCCAGGCCTGACAGCGGCGTCCAGGCCCCTGCCCCTGTCCACTTTTGATTTATAGCCGTGCAGATAGACCGCTCCATGGTCCTGTGCTCCTGTCTGTGTGTGAGAATGCTTCCTTCGCTGTCACGCGCTCCCGGACCTCAGGTTTGGACATCCCGATAACACACTGTCCCCCCGTCACTCTGCTTTCAACCACACAAGACACGGGATACAGTTATTATTCAAAGGGATTCCAGGGAAAAAAGCATTGGACGAATTTGCTTCCATTGTGTCTGTACTGCCTTTGCTACAGGTCTACAGATCTCCTAAACCTTAGACTAAACCTCGTTTAAGTCCATTCCATGCAAGTGAACATTGTTATTTTTATGTCTACATTTTTATTTCACTGTGTGTGGAGAGGCGACAACGCTCACTTTGAGAATGCATGATTAGAAATGTCTGTTTTACTTTGCTGATAATGAAGGCTCTCGTCAGGTACCTTTGTTTTTTTATTTAATTTAACTACATTATCATAATTATTTGGTGTATTTGAGAAGGGACGGAGACAGAAAACATAGACAAACTCTCATACAGCTAATTTGCAGGACTCTCTTTTTCAATGTTCTATCAGGATAAGCTGATCTAGAGACGTGACAGAAGCCAACAATACACAATGTGATAACTGGAGAAAGAATGTCTCTGGTCTCTCTTTCTTTTGTCTCTCTCGCTGGTCTCTCTCGATTCTCTCTCTCTGTACCCTTTTTGGTTTTTCCCAGGTCTCTCTCTGGTCTCTCTCTTTTCTCCTCTGTTCTCTCTGTATGAACTATGTCTGGTCTCTCCCTGGTCTCTCTCTATCCCTGGTCTCTCTCCAGCCTCTCTCTCCAGCCTCTCTCTCTGTTCTCTCCCTGATCCTCTCTTTTTCACTTTTCCATCTGCAAAAGCTAAAAAACTGACAAAAGCAATCCCATCTGTACAAACTCTACCCTTCATTTAAACCTTCACCATTCTCCCATGCTTTCACCCAAACAACTGAACTCACAAAAAGGTAAAATATTTGACAATCAATGAAAATATTATCTAACTTTTAAGTCCATTTTCCCCGAGCCCGCGGCCCCCAGCTCTTGCTTCCGGGATGGTTGTCCGATCTACGTCTCTGCACCGGAGATGGATGGAGCGTCTGGAGCATTCGTCAACCTCGCCGCTTGCCCTCGCCGCCTTTACGCTCACTCCACTACAGGGAACACGTGTAATACATCAAGCCGTGATTTCTGACAGCGAGGTGGAGGTAATAACTTAAGAACGCAGCCTCCCCCGCCTTCCCCCTCCCCTCGTTTTTTCCCTTTCTTTGCCCCTTATGTCACCCATCGATCTGCTTCCCGGAGACAACTCATTTTATCGGCTGACGCGGCTGATGGAGGCTCTTTGGGGCCTGGGCTACGGCGCTTCTGCTCCATCGACCCGTTCACCGTCTGGACGCGCTTTTCCCACCGGCTCGTACCTGGCTTTGTTTTGGATTCACAAGAGAATGTTCCGTTTGCCTTCAGAGGCTGAGGGCTTTAGGAAGAGTACAGGGAGAAATCTACACGCGATCTGATTGGACGTTCATGTGTTGGATGAGAATATTCTGTGAGAAGGAGATGGCTCATGTCATTTAATATTGCATTTGAAAGCCGGATTTCATCGGACCTATGATGCTAAGCAGGGCGAGGTCTGGTTAATACTGTGATGGGGGACCTCTGGGAACAGCTGGAGCCACAGTGGGGCGGCTGCTGCTGTGAATTATCTGATCTCTCTTTCTGATCTTTCTCTGGGCTATTTCTGGTTGCTCTCTATTTGGTCTCTCTCTCTCTCTCTTTGCTCTCTTTCCGGTCCCTCTCTTTTTTTGCTCTCTCTCTGGCATCTCTCCGTTCTCTCTCTCACTTTGGTCTCTCTCCGGTCTCTCTCTCTTGGGTCTCTCGCTCTGTTATCTTTTCGGTCTCCCTCTCTTTGGTCTCTCTTTGGTCTCTCTCCGGTCTCTTTCTCTGATCTTAGAAAAAGGAAAACTACATATGATTTTTTTAAACCATAACCCCTTATACTGTATGTAAATATGTATCCCGTACAGTGCAACCGTGTGACTCACCAATGATCGTAACCACATCACGCCGAAAAGCTAAGAAAGCGTAAAAAATGTATTCATGCTTTCATTCCACACCCACACACACACACACACACATACACACACCCACACACTCATACCCATACACACACACACACACACACACACACACACTAATATACATACATATACACAGACACACACACACATAGAAATACTCATGTACACATACACACATATACATACGCAAACACATAAAACACACAAACATACACACACACACACATAGACACACACATAGACACCCACCCAGACACACACACATACACACACTCATATAAATACACAGGCACAAATACACACACATACACACACACATACCTGAGCCTTATCACACATTTTTCACATTCACGCAAACACACACACACGCAGAGACACACATTCAAACACACACACAGACACACTAACACACACACACACATACACACACACGCACACACACACACACACACACACATACCTGAGCCTTATCACCCCTGAGTCCCTGGGAGCCCGCGTGCTTGTGCGTCCGCCCCGTGGCGTCGTCGGTCAGCTCGGATTTGCGTGCGCGTGTCTGAAGCTCACACCTGACCGCGGGCTCCGAGGCAGAGGCGAGGCGCGAGGAGGCCACGCGACACAAACGGCATGAATATTCCACGCCCTCAGACAGACGACATGTGTACGGCCCCATCACACTCCAGCTCGCCATCACGCCACGGTCAGACGCCGAGGTACCTCTGCTGCGGCCTCTCTCAACAACTGTAAAGTGCTTTGTGTCTCTGGTCTGTGAAAAGTGCTGTACAAAATAAAAGATACTTTCATATTTACCTCTTTCTCAGTTTTACTCCAACAACATCAAGTAACGGTTCATATAACACCACAGTTATCTATGTTTGAAATCTCTCTGGTCTCCCTCTAGTATGTGGTCTCTCTCTGGTCTCTCTCTGTTTTCTCACTGGTCTCTCGTGGTCTTTCTCTGGTCTTTCTCTGGTCTCTGTCTGGGGTCTGGTCTCTTTCTGGTCTCTCTGGGTTTTCTCTGGTCTCTCTCTGGTCCCTCTCTGGTCTCCCTCTGGTCTCTCTCTGGTCTCTCACTGGTCTCTCTCCCTGGTTTCTCTCTTGTCTCTCTCTGGTCTCTCTTTAGTCTCTCTCTGGTCTCTCACTGGTCTCCCTCTGGTCTCTCTCTGTATTCTCACTAGTCTCTCACTGGCCTTTCTCTGGTCTCTCTCTGTTTTCTCTCTGGTCTCCTTCATGGTCTCTCTCTGTTTTCTCTCTGATCTCTCTCTGGTTCCTCTCTGGTCTCTCTCTGGCCTCTCTCTGGTCCCTGTCTGGTCTCTCTCTGGTCTCTCTCTGTTTTTTTCTCCGGTCGAGCCCTGTGAATCCCTCTGTATGATAGAACCAAAGTACATTCATGTACATAGTTGATTTTTTTGTGGTTTCAAAATAACGTTTTGGGACGTCATTGAGTATCCAGAGGCCACGGTGTGACACAGTTCCACATGAAACATATTATTATGAATTTCATCAGTGGTAAAGAAATGGCCTTTGAGCCTGAAGGTCGTGGATTCGAGCTCTCCACCGACTCCCACCGATGTCGATGTGTCCTTAGCAAGACACTTCACCCACACAAACCACTGCACAGAACCGGGAGAAGCAGACCATGCCCAAATATAGCCGTGTTCCGCAAATATGTCAGCGCCCGTGAAGTCCCATGCGCTACCGAGCACAAGCCATTCAGTTGAATAGGACGCCATCTTGGATCACCGGGGCTTGATAATGACATATGAAGCGTCTTTGAGTGTCCAATATTCCTTAATGGGGCAAAAACATTTTAGATAATCATGCAGAAATTAGGAATGTTCAAAAATACAATCCTGGTTTCTTCCAGAGATCTCCCTTCTTCTTTAAATGAGTGCATTACAAACTAATCATGGCGATAACTTTGCAAATGGACTGATTAAAATTCTCGCACCTAATATAATTGGCTCATTACAGACAGACAGCACGGTGCGAACTCATGAAAAGGTAGTGTCTGTTTCCGTGACGACGTAATTACACAAATCTTCTTTTTTTTTGCATACGGCCAGGTTTTTTAATGGCCGAAGGTGTTTCTGAATCTTCTCCCACCGAGGACTTGAGCGATGGAAGAAGCCTCCGGTGAACTCCCGATGATGGACATGATTTTTATTCAAAGATGGCCGAACTATTCACTCGGCTCCTGATGGGGAGAGGCCCGGGATCTGTGCAGACTCGGTTTTTATGATGAACTGGCGGCAGTGGTGCTAATGTGTTAGCGACTGTGGCAGGTTACGGAAGCGGTCTCTCTCTCGCTCTATAGTTTTGTGTGATTTAGTGTTTCTTCTGTGCCAAGTGTGTACTCCTCTAACAACATCATTTCACCGCTGGTAGAACATGACAGTTCAAAGTCTATCTCTGGTCTCAGTCTGGTCTCTGGTCTTTCTCTCTGGTCTTATATTCTGGGTCTCTCTCGCTCTCTCTGGTTCCTCCCCAGTCTGTTTTTGGTCTCATAGTGAGCTCTATGTTTTCTTTCCAGTTTATCTGGTCTCTCTCTAGTCTTTCTCTGGTCTCACTCGTGTCTCTCTTTCGTGTCTCTCTCTGTTCTCTTTCTGGTCTCTCTCTGTTCTCTCTCTGTTCTCTCTCTGGTCTCTCTCTCTGTTCTCTCTCTGTTCTCTCTCTGGTCTCTCTCTCTGTTCTCTCTCTGTTCTCTCTCTCTCTCTCACTTGTCTTTCTCTTGTCTTTCTCTGGTCTCTCTCTTTCTGTTCTCTCTTTCTCTCTTCTCTCTCTCTCTGGTCTCTCTCCCTCTGGTCTCTCTCTGGCCTCTCTGTCTGGTCTCTCTCTCTTTTCTCTTTCTCTCTTTTCTCTTTCTACTCTCCCTCTGGTCTCCCTTTCTGGTCTCTCTCTGGTCTCTCTCTCTCTGTTCTCTCTCTGGTCTCTCTCTCTGGTCTATCTTTTGTCTTTATCTGGTCTCTCTCTGGTCTCTCTCTCTTTTATCTTTCTACTCTCTCTCTTGTCTATCTCTTGTCTCTCTGATCTCTTTGTCTCTCTCTGGTCTCTCTTTCTCTTGTCGTTTTCACACCTTTTAACTCAAAAACATTGTTACCCAGTTGGTAAACGTGTGGGTCTGTGCCCAGCCTTTTTATATTTTCTCCCCATTCATTACAACTCCATATCCGTTAGCCAATCACTGTGCTTCCTCTCTGTGACGTCATCACGCCACGTGACGCAGCAGGACGTATCACGCACTCCAATATGGCGGCCCGCATAAGTCTGTAGTTGTCGTGGGGAAAGCAGCATCAGAGGTGTGCTACAGGAGTCTCCTACCATGACCCAAACCGTGCGGGAAAGGTCTTGTAAGTAGGGATTCATCGCAAAACTGGTCAGGGTTTCTACTGATTTGATGATGGCGAGCTGAAAGGAGCAGCCTGAGAGCCAATAGTCTCTGCTGGAGAACAGAAGCACCTCTCCTGCCGGACTGGAAGGGGGCTCCGTGTAGCCCACGAACTCTCCCCACGCACCTCTCACTGCCCACACACTTAAAGACATTTCCCCCTTGGACATACACATTATAACCCAGACGTGGGTTCTCCTGGGGACTTGTGGAGGGGTCGGGAAGTGGGTGGGATCCCTCAGCTTTGGGGTTCCCAAGTTGTGGGTCCTGGACTTTTGAACTTGGATTGAAATCTGTTTATCGTGATGATTGTTATGTGTATTTTTGATTGCTGCATTGAATAACTGTTGCTATGGTGAAACTTAAAGCGCTTTTGTTACCGAATGGCCTTTCACAGGATCTCTACTTCTTGGTGCTATTGATGTACACTGTAAATGTTTTTGCACTTTTTCATTCTTTATTTACTAAATACATGGCACCTGAAAAAAAGTCATTCCGTCTCCTGTCCACTCCCTCCTAGAGCCGAAACTAGACTTCTGTCACTAGCCCTGGACTTACAATTGTGTTACCTGGTTACTTTGACTTATATTCATATCCCAGCATTTACTCAGGCCACAGGTGCTACAACATCGCTGTTAGAAAATGAGTCTTAACTTTAAGAAAGACCCCGCGAATCATATTTGACTCTGGGCTGGGAGCTGATTGGCCGAGGGAGGAGGGTGCTCTCTTTGTCTCTTTGCCTGAGGTAGAAAATATCTGTGGATTACTGTATACCAGACTCTGAAGATAATTTCATTTCTCAGTTTGCCGTAGCAGACAACCTCCAGAAATCTCTCCCTCTCTCTCTCTCACACAGACACACACACACACGAGCACACACACGCATGCACGCACACACATACACACACACGCACACACACATTTTTTACAGCAATTGTTTTGACAGCCAACCTTGTTCCAAACATTTTCCCCCTGGTGCTTTTTGTGATGTTGTTATATGGGCTGCCGTATGTTACCGAACCAGGAGAGAAAACCAGGTGGATGTGGAGGTGGTTGAGGAATGTCAAAACCAATTTAGTTTTTTGGTTAAAGCTCTCGTCTTAAATCTGGATTACCGAGCTTTCAAACTACAGACATACAACTGTGTAATAAGATCAGTTTTATCACTAGTTTCTACATGTGTGCAATGGTGGTCTCTGTCACATCTCTGGTCTCTGTCTCTGGTCTCTCCGTCTATGGTTTCTCTCTCTTTGGTCCCGTTTCTCTGGTCTCTCTGTCTATGGTCTCTCCGTCCATGGTTTCTCTCTCTTTTGTCTCTTTGTCTGGTCTCTCTCTCTATCTCTCTGGTTTCTCTCCCTCTGGTCTCTGGTCGCTCTCTCTCTGGTCTCCGTCTCGAGTATCTCTTTCTGGTCTCTCTCTCTCTCTGGTATCTCTCTGTGGTCTCTCTCTCTCTGGTCTCTGTCTGGTCTCTCTCTCTCGTCTCTCTTTCTGGTCTCTCTCTCTCTCTCTCTGGTATCTCTCTGTGGTCTCTCTCTTTCTGGTCTCTCTCTCTCTCTCTCTCCGTGGTCTCTTTCTCTCTGGTCTCTCTCTCTCTCTCTGATCTCTGTCTGGTCTCTCTCTCTCTGGTCTTTCTCTCTGGTCTCCCTCTGTTTTCTCCCTCAAATATTGTATTTTATCAGCTTTTTCAGACAAAAACTTGAGGACCATTGTCCGACGAATAGAACAGAGTAGAGTAGAGTAGAGTAGAGTAGAGTAGAGTAGAGTAGAGTAGAGAAGATTAGAGTAGAGTAGCTCATTCTTCTCTGCTAAAAGCCTCACCGTCCTGTAAATTCCCGGGCCGCCTTGCATTTCCTACCCATTGCAGACTAACTTTCCAGCCCCTCTGTGCAGCCGGACCACTGAGACGAGACTTTCTCACAAGTTTTATTTTAGAACAAACACAATATACAGCATTTCATTAAAAAGAGAACGTTTTGAGCCGCAAAGTCAAATCCTTGAGCGTCTGTGGAGAAAAAGGCTCCAAAAGCTCATTACAGGTACAGGGTTATCTCCTGGTGCCGCGGTGGTCCAGGGCCGGCGAGTATTAACCGACGCAGGGTAAGAGAAAAACTTCATTAAATACGTGAGGGATTAAGCTACAGTGTGTTTAAGCTCTGCACCTGTTTGTGTGTGTGTGTGCGTGTGTGTGTGTGTGTGTGTGTGTGTGTGTGTGGGTGTGTGTGTGTGTGTTTGAGTAGTGGCTGTACCTGAATTGTGGAAATGGTAATGAAGACAGCCAATTTATGGTACAAAGCCAGACACTG